TCCTCCTCCTCCTCCTCCTCCTCCTCCTCCACTGTACGCGGCTCCCATTTTCTGATTGCGCACATAGCACGACGGGCTTCTTCTGGGAGCTCCAGGTCCGATATGGCACGCGTCGGCGGGCGGAGAACAAACTAGCCGGACGGGAAAGGATCGGAAGCCAGATATGGCGCGAGCGCGCCCGGCTTGTCCCTCCCGCCTCTCCCTCCCCTCCTACCCTCCCTCCTCGCCCCCCCACTCGCCCTCGTCCCCCCCCCCTCTTCTCCCACACATCCTCCCCTTCAGAGCTCACAGCTGATCCCTGTCGCAGGTTTTGCCCTCGCGCGCCCCTCTTCCTCCTCCAGCCCGAGAGCTTGATAGGGGGGCCTCTGCCCTCCTCTTCCTCCTCCTCCTCCTCCTCCTCCTCCTCCTCTTCCTCCTCCTCCTCCTCATCATCCTCATCATCATTCCTCTTCCTCCTTCCTCTTCCTCCAGCTGATCCTGTGGCGCCGGGTGGTGAACTGTGGGCTCGAGCGCGCAAGCGGCTCCGGGAGAGGGGCACCCCAGCGCCGAGGCGCGCCCGGGGCGCTCTCATGGCGGCAGGGCTGGCGCGCGCCTCTCGCCGGGCGCGCTGGGAGCGGCTGCTGCCTCGAGGATCATCGAGAACAGAAAAGAAGCCCCCCCACCCTGACGAAGAACAGCATCACGAGGAGGACGTGGCCTCGCTGTAGGTCCCCGTCTTCGCATCAGGGATGATCGGTATGGGTGGTTTGGTCTGATACGTCTGCAGAGGAGAAGACCCCGTATCCCTAATGTTGTTGGCCCTCCTATTCTTAGGTCTCCTCCCAAGGGGGTTGGGATCCTTTCTATTGCTAAAGGCTTGACGTGGCGCACAGCGGTGGCGTTCTTTTTGTTTCCTCCAGTTCGGCTGAGTTCAGCCATGTGCCGAGCAGGATAGGGGGAGAGGGGAGCCTTCTCTTAGAAAAACGCCTGCTTCTTAGAAGGCGCGGGCCTTGTCTGTAGATGCAGGGAGTGCGCCTTCTGAGGAGCGGCCTCCTTCTAAGAAGCCTGCCCCCGCTCCCTGCCCCCTGCTACGCGCAGCCAATGAGCACGTATCAGAGCTTGTGCGGGGCGGTTCGTGCTCAGAGATCGGAGTGGTAGGACCATCTCCGAGGCCCGCACGGCGTGCCACGCGCGTGCTCGGACATGCGTGTCGCTCGACGTCGACGTGGACGCTTTTGGTGTCTTCGGCAGGCTCTGGGGCTCCTCGTCACAGCGGCTGGAAGCGGCTCCTTGGAAGCCCTCCCGACTCAGATGGAGCCTTTCTTGATACCTCCGAGCCCTTCTGAGAAGCCCTTGCCTTCTTCGAAGGTCCCCCCCCACTCCCCTTGGTGCCATTGGCGCGCCGCCCAGAGGAAGCAACCCTGCCCCACGGAGCTCCCACACTGTGACCTCGGTGGGCGGCCGGGTCTGCGTCTTCGGCGGCGAGGACGCGCCGCGGAACGCCTTCGACCCGGTGCCGCACTTCCTGGGGGTTGCCAAGGGTGCCCCTGGCCCAAGGTGTCCCCAGGTTTTCCCGCACAATTGCGGAGACCCTGCGTTCCTCTGGGCATCGTGAGGGGAGCCCTGGAGGCCGTCTGGGCCTGCTGAGAAATCCTGGGGGCCTCGTGAGGGCTGCTCGGGAGGCCGCTGGGGCCTGCTCGGGGACCCCATGGGGACACCTCGCGCCAGAGACGCCTCCGGTGGCAGCACCCAGACTTCCTGGATCCAGCGGAGGGCGCCTGGCGCCCCGGGGGCGCGCCGGCGCCGGGGCCGCCGCGGCTCGGGCACGGCGCGGCGGCGCTCGGCCGGCGCCTGCACGTGTTCGGCGGGCGCCTCGGCGGCCCCAACGATTTTTCGGGCAAGGAGCGTCGGCGCGCGCAGGTGGCGAGGGGGGACGTCTCTGTGGCCTCTCTTGCTTGTTCGCCTCTGTGGGGTCGCCGTTCTGGCCACGGCCGGGCGCAGCTCGAAGAGCTGGCCAGGGCGGACCTTTGGAGAGGTCCAGAGGATCCGTTTGGACCGGACGCAGGCCAGGGACGGGCTCCTCCTCCCTCCTCCTCCTCCTCCTCCTCCTCCTCCCCTCCTCCTCCTCCTCCTCCTCCTCCTCCTCCTCCTCCTCCTCTCCTCCTCCTCCTCCTCCTCCTCTCCTCCTCCTCCCTCCTCCTCCTCCTCCTCCTCCTCCTCCTCCTCCTCCTCCTCCTCCTCCTCCTCCTCCTCCTCCTCCATTCCTTCTCCTTATAGATAACTTCCCCCTCTCGCACCCCGAGGCCAGTTTTTAGGGCGGGCCGAGCGTTTCGCCTGAGACTTTCTCACAATTTATGATTCTGAAGCTTAAAAGTGGCAGAAGTCTCACAGATGGAGGGCGGGTCGCTTTCAAAATGTGGCTTTCGCCTTTAGCTCCGCGCACATTCGTTTTATACATTTGCAAGAGTTTCACAGGTTGAGGGCGGTCGTTTTCAAAATGGCGCTCTCGCCTTAGCGCCGCGCACATTCGTTTTCAAAATTGTAAGGTTTCAACGGGTTGAGGGTGGGTCGTTTTCAAAATGTGGTTCTCGCCTTGGCGCCGCGCACATTCGCTTTAAGAAATTGCAAGGTGTTCACGGATTGAGGATGGGTCGTTTTCAAAATGTGGTTCTCGCCTTAGCGCCGCGCACATTCGTTTTAAACATTTCCCAGAGCTTCACGGATTGAGGGCGGGCCGTTTTCAAAATGCGGTTCTCGCTTTGGCGCCGCGCACATTCGTTGTATATATATATATATACATATATATATACGGGCTTCACGGAAAGAGGGCGGCACCGTTTCAAAATGTGGGTCTCGCTTTAGCGCCGTGCACATTCGTCTTAGAACATTGCGAGAATTTGACGAATTAAGGGCGGGCCGTTTTCAAAATGTGGTTATCGCCTTAGCGTTGTGTACATCCGTTTAAACCAATTGCAACAGTTTCACGGATTGAGGGCCGTTCTTGTTCAAACTGTGGTTCTCGCTTTAGCGCCGCGCACATTCGTTTTAAACATTTGCCAGAATGTCACGGATTCCCATGATCAACGTACCAGGAATGGTGTTTTGGAAGGATTTACGATTACGCGGGCGCAACAGTTATGTTGTTCGCGATGTTGAAGTCCCACAAACGGCGTTCTGGCACGATTCGGGATTGTCAAGACGCAGCAGTCAGATTGATACATGACGTTGAAATCCCGAGAGCAATATTTTGGCACGCTTCAGTATCTTCAAACGGTTGTCTTCCAACGAACGAGGCAGTTCCCTCAATGGAAATGAGCCGTTGTAGGGGCCTACGAAGAGGGAGCGTGGAGGGAAGGTTCATTCCAACATCGTTGATGACTCTTGGGTTCACACTGCCCCTCCTCGCCCTCCTCCACCTCCTCCACCTCCTCCTCCTCCTCCTCCTCCTCCTCCTCCTCCTCCTCCTCCCCCTCCTCCTCCTCCTCCCCCTCCTCCCCCTCCCCTCCTGGGAGGAGGAGGCCTTCTGAGATGGCCCTCCTGCCTCCTCGTGGAGGCCCCCCTCCTCCACGAGAACGGCCGGGCCCCTGCCGAGGAGGCCCCAGGAACCCTGTCGGAGGCCGCGCGCGGCCTCGCCGCCCGCGCCAAACCCGCTCGGGGTCAGGGACATGGCCACGAGCTATGTTCGCAGCCGTCACCTCGGGCGGGTGGCCAGGGCACACTGAGCAAGAGGGAAAGAAGAGGGCGGCCGCGGCGCCTTCAGGGCCCCTTTGGGGACCCTGCTGGCTCCAGAAGGGGCCCATTCAGGGCCCCTTCAGGGCCCTTCTCTGCACCCCCTATTTGGGCCACCCCCCATTACCACCCGCCCAACCACCGCGCACAGCAAAGTGGGCATTCTTTGGGGTAGGCTCGCGAGCGTGAGACGCTCACTCAGCTAAACATAATGTGGATGCCGTGTTTGGGGCGAAGGCCCGCATGCCTCAAGTAGGGCGACGAAATCTATGCATATCCACTGCTCCCTGGCCAGGCCCATCCTGATCCCTGCAGCGGTGTACACGCCACGCCCTCCTGGCTTGGCCAGGAGGGCGTATACACGGCTCCTGGGCCCAGGAAGGGCCAAGCCAGGGGGCATTGCACATGCACAGATTTCGTTGCCCTGTGAAGCGTCAATGTGTGCGGCTGCCCCCCCTCCCGCCCCCAGCCTTTCCCGTGCTGGCGCCGGCAGGACTCCGGGGAGTCGGGCGACCACTTCACCCTCGACACCGACACGGACCGCTGGACGCGCTGGCAGCCCGCCGCGCCGGGGGCCGCGGCGCCGGCGCCGAGGAGCTTCCACGCCATGTGCGCCTGGCAGGGCGCCAGCGGGGGCGGCGACGACGGGCTGGTCTTTCTCTTGTTCGGAGGGGGGCCCGTCGAGGCGGCGGCGGCCCTCTCGGGCGCGGTTCGTCCGCTGTGGGCCTCCGGGAAGCGCCTCGCCGCCACGGCTGGATCCGCCGCGAAAAGCGGGCCAGGAGGGACCCCCAGGGAGGGGGCGGGGGACTGATGTGGAGTTCCAGGCCTCCCAGCTGGGGTCGGAGCAGATGGGGTCGGAGGATCGCGCCGCAGCGCTGGTGCATCGGCGATGCGGCTCGGTGCGGAGCCCGGTTTTCTCCACGCCGACGTCGCCGGTGCATGGGCGATGCATCGCCGATGCATTGGCGATGCGGCACGATCCTCCGACCCCGTCTGCTCGAACCCCAGTTAGGCGGCCTCTATGAGCGGATTCGGGCCAGGGAGCCGCCGCGGTCTCGACTCTGCACAAACTTGGGGGCGAAGGCTGGCAGCAGTGCCTGCCCATCTTGAGAGGGATTCGCTGTCTGTGTCGCCGCGGGCGCTGCCCATTTGAGACACGAGCTCGCCTGCTCAACAGCGGCCGCTGTCGGTTTGGGACCATTTGGCTGCTGGGCATGGGACCCAGATTTTCCGCACCCAGTGCGGGCGTGCCAATCGACTGGCCTTCCTCTGATCTTCGGGGGGTGCGGCAGCACCGGGCGCCTGAACGACCTGTGGAGCTTCGACGCCTCGCGCGGCGAGTGGGCGTGCCTGCACGCGGGCGGCGCCTCGGACGCCCCGCTGCCCCGCGGGGGCGCGGCCCTGGTCGCCTCGCCCGACGGCGCGCGGCTCGCGCTGCTCTTCGGGTTCAGCGGGGCGCAGCAGGGCGACATCGCCATCTTCGATCGACGGGCCGGCAGGCGGCGGGGGCAGCGCGGGGCGGGGGTCAGAGTCCGCGGGGGCGCGCATCGGCGCCCCCTCGCCCGTTCATCGCCGATGGGGGCCCGATGGGCCCACCCCGCCCAGGAGCGTGCGGAGTCGCCATCGGGGGCAGATCGCCGATCCATCGGCGGTGCAACGCCGCTGCCAGGTCGGATGTTTCCCCCCTGGAGCCGGCCCCCCCCTAAAGGACAGCCAGCCCGCATGGTAAGGCTGGGCAACCTTCCCAAGGGTGCCCTTGCATCCGTGCCTCCTCGGACCATCCTTGGCCACTTTCGTTGGCCGCGCCCCGCTCGGAAAGCTTCAGGGTGGCCTTCCAGAGCCCCTTGCATCCTTATCGTGCGTCCTTGCGATGCGGGTTGACTGCAGCGCTGCCCCTGTCTAGAGGTGGCAGATCTGCGGCCAGGACCAGCAGAGCGGGGACGTGCCGTCGCCGCGGTCCGTCCTGGCGGCGTCGGCCGTCCCAGGCAGCGACGACGTGTTCGTGTTCGGCGGGGAGTGCATCGAGTCCGACTTGGGGCACGCCGGGGCCGGGGAGTTCGTTGCCGACCTGCACGCGCTGGAGCTGGGCAGCATGGCCTGGCGGCGCGTGGAGGCCGAGGTCGGACGGGGCCAGGACGAGGAGAAGTCCGCTCCGGAGCGTTCCGGAACGCTCTCAGAGCGATCCGGAGCGCTCCCGAGAAGGTCGCGGCGCCCGAGACCTCTTCCAGAGCCGCGGGATCTCCGAGATTTTCTCGATCTATCCTCACCCGAATGTACTCTCGTCCTGGCTTCGTCATGCGAGGGCCCTGCGCCCGAGCCGCGGGGCTGGGCGGGGATGGCTGCGCCAGACCCCCAGCAGCTGGTGCTCTTCGGGGGCCTCAACGCTGCCAACCAGAGGCCCTCTGGCGGGGCGCGCCCGAGGGGGCTGGTGTGCGCCCGTCCACCGGGAACGGGGGCCTCCTCCCCCTCCTCCTCCTCCTCCTCTTCCTCCTCCTCCTCCTCCTCCTCCTCCCCCTCCTCCTCCCCCTCCTCCCCTCCTCCTCCTCCTCCTCCTCCTCCTCCTCCTCCTCCCTCCTCCTCCCTCCCCTCCTCCTCCTCCTCCTCCTCCTCCTCCTCCTCCTCCTCCTCCTCCTCCCCCTCCTCCTCCCCCTCCTCCCCTCCTCCTCCTCCTCCTCCTCCTCCTCCTCCTCTCTTCCTCCCCCTCCTCCTCCCCCTCCTCCTCCTCCTCCTCCTCCTCCTCCTCCTCCTTCCTCCTCCTCCTCCTCCTCCTCCTCCTCCTCCTCCTCCTCCTCCTCCTCCTCCTCCTCCCCTCCTCCTCCCCCTCCTCCTCCTCCTCCTCCTCCTCCTCCTCCCTCCTCCTCCTCCTCCTCCTCCCTCCTCCTCCTCCTCCCTCCTCCTCCTCCTCCGCCTCCTCCTCCTCCTCCTCCTCCTCCTCCTCCTCCTCCTCCTCCTCCTCCTCCTCCTCCCCCTCCACCCCCTCCTCCTCCCCCTCCTCCTCCTCCTCCTCCGAAGGGACGGGCCCCGTCCGAAGGGGCAGGAAGGGCCTCCGAGAGGCGGGGGGGCCTACTGGACCGGGCGGGTGGTAATGTTAAGTCGGGCCTGTCCCCCTACAGGGGGATTTTCGACGAGGAAAAAAAATACCTTGAAAATACCCCATATTCAAAAAATAGACCTCATTTTTTGGATCATTTTGGGGGTATTGTTAATTTGTGTCGACAATCCCCCTGTAGGGGGACAGGCCCGACTTAAGGAAGGGCCTCCGAGAGGCGGGGGGGCCTCCTGGACCGGGCGGGTGGTAATGGGGGGTGACCTAGATGAGGGGTGGAGAAGAAAAGACCCTGAAGAAGCCCTGTGGGGCCCCTTGTGGGCCCCTGCTGGCTCCGAAAGGGGCCCCAAAGGGTCCCTTTAGCTGGCCCTTCTCTTCACCCCCCCGTTTAGGCCACCCCCCATTACCACCCGCCCGACTAGGGGCTGCGCCCCCCCCCCTCCAGCCAGGATCGCTCTGACTGGGTCCCCGGAGCCCTCCTGGGGCTCACCCCTCGCCAGTTTCTCGAGCTGCGTCCAGCCGTGGCCACGAGAAACCTGCGACAAGCGTAGAGCGTCGAGCCCCATCGGCCGAAGAGCCTCCCTCGCCCTTTCTCGCTTGCTGTGCGCCGCCGGAGGCTGGGCGACACGTGGAAGCTCGTCCTGGAGTAGTCTCGGCCACTGCGGGAACTCCTCCTCGCCCAGCCTCCTGTGAGCGCGGGCCGCTCCGAGCGCAGGAGCTGCTTGCTGGCCCTGGGGCCCTGTCGGTGGCAGAACTCCCCGCGACACTAAACTTTTTGTTGTTCAGGCTCGGCGGCGCCGAGGAGTCTCGCCGTCGGCTGCGTACCGCATTGACGCACCAGCGAACGATCGATGAAATGCAGTGATCCTTCCTTCCCCCCCTCGCCCTCCTGCTACCGCGTCCTCCCCGTCATGCCTCCTCCACTCTCCTCATCGAGCGTGAGTCTGGAGGGGAAAAAAAAAACAGACACAATTAATTGTCGATTCCCAAGAAGATATGGGAAAATATGGGAAGTGGGGGGGAAGACAAAAGCCCAGAAAAATATTCGAAAATATGGGGAATAGTTTTATGTGTGTATTTTCTTGTGTGTCCCAGGGCCCCTTCAGTGAGTCTGCAGCCTGGACCTGCGTCCCGTTCTCGGGGTCCCGAGAAGTGCATCGAAGCATCGCGCACGTGCCATCCCAATTCCACATCGCCCTGCCGTTTTTCGTCCTCCGAGGCGGAGGAGATTTGGGAGGGCACGGAGGGAAAAGGACGAAGAGGACGAGGTCATCATCGTCATCATCCACCCTCGGCTTCACTTTCCCCCTCCTCCTCCTCCTCCTCCTCCTCCTCCTCCTCCTTTTCCTCCCTCCCTCTGTCCTCCCCTCCCTCCCCACAGCCCCCAAGGCCCCAGAACCCAAGAGCCCCGTTGCCTCATCCGCCTCATCCGCCTCCTAAATCCCCCACGCCCCCACGCAGGTTGTGACGGATTCACTTCCACCTTCCAGGAGAAGGTCTTCAAGGACTCCGGCTGCGAGGAGAGGTGAAGAGAAGTGAAGAGGAGGAGGAAGGAGGAGGAGGAGGAGGGAGGAGGAGGGAGGAGGGACCAGTGCAAAGCCAAAACCCACCAACGACATTGCAGTAATTCCTCCGTCCAGACTCCCTCGCCGCAGGCCCCCAGCAGGATTCGTTTTCACCGAGGGAGGATCCGCGCTGGGGGACAACCGTTCGAAAGCTGTGACTTGTGTCGGAAAGCCAGCTGTCGGACGTCAACGCCGCGAATCACCACCATGGTTTCCTGCGTCTTGACGATCCTGCATCGTGCGAGAATGCAATTACTCGGGGCTGGACAGAACCCCCAACAGTGACACGTCGATTAGTGAATTGTCCGTTTTCGGTTTTCGAGAGGGCGCCGTGGCCGTTATTTTCCAGGCTCGCGCCCGCCAGGTTTTGGTCTTCCATCCATGAAGCTCTTACATGGCCTTCGACCCATGCCGCCAACGTGCCTGGGATGCTTGTATGAAGACTATTGGATGTTCATTGGGATCTCGTGGGAGGCCTCTGGGGAACGTCTTGGAGGCAGTTTGGAAGCCTTTGGGGGGCCGTCTGGGGACCTCTTTCGGGCCTCTGCTGCTTGTTCTCGCTGCCGTTGGCCACTGCCCCAGTTTGGGGGTGGTGGCCACGAGCGTGTGGTCGCTTGCCGTCCGCTCCGCTTGAGGCCCGAGGACCTCCGAAGCCTAGAGTGCCCCTGCCCCCCCCCCAACAAAAAAACATGTCGGAATTTTGAGCACGGGCCCTTTCAAGATTCCTCAGGATTGAGGACTGCGGCTCCACCGAGTAGGCAAAGAACCTGCGGACACGACCAACCCGTGCCCAGAGACACGATACCGGATTATTGATGAAGACGAATGTGCGCCGTGTTGAGGCGAGAGCCACATTTTGAGAACGACCCCACGACCCGCCCTCCATCCGCAAAACCCTTGCAATGTTTCCAAACTACTGTGCGCTGCGCTGAGGCGAGAGCCACATTTTGAAAGCGGCTCGCCCTCAAGTCGTAAACCTTCTGTACATTTGTCATACGAATGCGCGCGGCGCTAAGGCGAGAGCAACATTTTGAAATCGGCACGAAACTCTTGCACTCTTTCAAGACGAATGCGCGCGGCGCTAAGGCGAGAGCCACATGTTGAAAGCGGCCCGCCCTCCATCCGTATAATTGCTGCAACAATTAAGTTTCAGGGTCATAGATGGTGAAGAGGTCTCAGGCGAGACGCCCAGCCCGCCTTGTCGACCAGCCTCAGGGTGCGACAGGGAAGAGTTGCTTATAAGGTAGTGGGATGAAGGAGAAAGAGGAGGAGGAGGAGGAGGAGGAGGAGGAGGAGGAGGAAGAGAAGAACCGTCCAGGGAACCAAAAGTCCGCAGCTGGAAGCTCGAAGGGGGAGGGGGGAATGGGAGAGTGGAGGAGGAGGAGAAGGAGGAGGAGTAGGAGGAGAAGGAGGAGGAGGAGGAGGACGACGACGACGAGGGCGAGAACAAGGACGAGGACGAGGACGAGGACGAGGAGGTGAAGGAGGAGGAGGAGGAGGAGAAGGAGGAGGAGGAGGAGAAGGAGGAGTACGACGACGAAGACAACGGGGCGGAGGCCAGGGCGTAGGCCAAGGCGGAGGCCAGGGCGGAAGCCGGGGCCGACCGAGGTGGAGGGGGAGGCGGCGGGGGGCAGGGGCAGGGGGCAGGAGGGCGGGGGGGCCGCCGGCGAGAAGCCCAGGCGTGCTACCCAGCATGAACAGGAGTACCGCGCAAACGAACAAGGAGCAGGTCGTGACACCGGGAAGAAAGCAAGCACCCGCCCTAAACAAAATACGCGCGTGCGCGCACGGCGATCTGCTCTAAATCCTCCCTGGGCGTTCCTCTTCAGTGCAATGTCCAGGGTGGGTGCGAGGGCTCTCGTCGGTCATCTACTTCTTGTTGAGCTATCGCAACGGGTGAAGGAGAGGCATCGCTTCGTTACAGCCAGACTTACCACCACTGAATTCCAATGGCACAAATCTGCACTCAGGCGTTCGATGAGGAGGCGGGAGAGTAGATTGCCGATGGTTTTGCCTCTGCGCCTCATCGTCTTTCTCCCTCTCTCTCTCTCGCTCTCTCTCTCTCTCTCTCTCTCTCTCTCTATATATATATATAGAGGTGTGTGTGTGTGTCACGCGCTCTCTTTGCCTCTCTCAATCTCTCTTCCTGTTTTCTTCGCCATCGCTGAGTATACACCTTCCCCCTGCAGGATTGCAAGACCACAAAATATAACCAGATGCTGTATGTCAACGCTGGCTCGGCCGTTGTTTCGTTGTCCTCATTTGTTTTATCAGGTCGGATGGCGCAGCGGGACAGATGATCAGAGGAGGTGGCGCGCTGCAAGAAGCAAGGGGGACGGAATGTTGGAGTTCAGGTTCGCGCCTCGTCCTTCCCCCGCTCCCCAACCTATGATAGGTGTGCGTTGTGTCGACGCTTCGCCAACCCCAGCGCGGGCAACCAAGATTGAATGCCGACAGTGGCCTGGACTCGGTCGATATCGCACGATGCGCGCTATAAAAACACCACGATCGTTCAAGGCTGACGATCCACGCGCCCCCCCCGCACACACACACACACACACACACACACATGCACACCTCTCTTGCCCGTCAATCCTCTTCCCCCCATCACCGTCTTGGGCCAGTCTCCTTGGACGCTCTGAACAAGGAACATACCAGAAAATACGCTCTGACGCTCGATATCAGAAAATGCCCAAAAGAAAACAGAAGTTTTGAATTGTTGTCGACTTCCCGAACCCCCGTGGCCCCCACGACTGCCCAAATGACCCTCTGGGGGTCATCTTAGACCACAGTGGCCCACCTCAGCGTTTTTGGAGGCGTTCGTACGGCAATAATGGGCCGCCTTGGAGGCCACCGTTGGCCGTGTTGGCCGCTCTGGCCGCCACAAGGAGCATTTGAAATGGCGCATTGCCCCCTCTGCGAGTTACAGATTTCGTGCCCCAAATCTGCATGAGGAGAGGGCTAAGGAAAGCTAATTGCAGGCGTAAGACGTCAATCCGCTGTACCTTCCAGGTGCTCAAAAAAGTGGCGACCCTTTGACAGTGGGCGGCACACCTGGAAGCATGCAGTCAGACCGCTCCCCGCTGGACTTCTAGAAGTGCAGGAAAGCGGCGGCAGCTGCGCAATTGGCGCCGCCCAGGGAGGGAAGTCCAGTCTGGACCTCTGGGAGGTCTCCCAGGAGCTCTCCCCTGGTCCCTTCGGAGGTCTCCCAGGAGGCATCCCCTGGTCCTGCCGAAGGCCTCCGAGGAGGTCTCCCCTGGTCTTCCCGCAGGTCTCCTAGGAGGCTTCTCCTGGTCCTCTCGGAGGTCTCCCGGGAGGCCTCCCCTGGTTCTCCAGGAGGTCTCCCAGGAGACTTCTCCGAGGAGAAGAGGAGGCCTCCCATGGTTCTCCCTTGGATCCACTCCTCCCAGCAGCTGACGAAAGTTGTGACAGTTGCGCTGTTTGCGGCACCAATGGAGAGGTCTACGTATTCCGGACCCGTTTAGGACGGCACCCCGCTGGACCTCCGCAGTTGACAGCGTCCAGGAAGAAGAGGTCTAGTCTGAATTTGGGTAGGTGTGCATTCGGCTGAACGCTCCGTAAGCTCACGAAGGCAACGACGTTTGTGCAGTTGGCACTATCCAGAGGGGCGAGGTCTGGTTTGGGTACGAAGCGCACTCTGCTAGACGCCTCACGATTCCAAGAAAGTTGCGCCAGTTGCGCAGTTGGCAACGCCCAGGGAGGCGAGGTCTAGCCAGGATCTTTCCAGGGGCTCGCGAGCGTGGCGGCAGTTGTCTGCCTGGCAGCACCCAGTAAAGCGAGGCAGGAGGCAGGTAGGATGATGGAGGAGGAAGCAGTAGAGTAGGCGAGAGGAGAAGGAGGAGGAGGAGACGGGGAGGAACAGCAGCAGGAAGGCAGGAGGACGTTCAAGACAGAAGGAGAGAGGATGGGATGGGACGAGAGGAGCGACAGGCGCTCGATGCAAAACAGGACAGGAGAGTTGGGACACACCAGGTGCGTGTTTCAAAAGTGGTGGCCTCCAGGGCCCATGCGCCGCGCCCCAGGTGCGCCCGAGAGCGCCCGAAGGGTTTTACAACCCTGTCCTCTCCGAGGATCCCAGGGGACCTGACAACACACCAGTCAGTGCCTCCCTGCCTGCCTGTGGTTTCTTTTTCCTCCCCACGCCGTGCCTGATCCACCTGCGGCACCAACCCACAGCTGCATCACTGATGCGAGTTCTCGCACACCTCGATTGAGTGTCCTATAAGGAGTAGAGGAAGCAGGGAGGGAGGAAGGAGGGAGGATGACCCGATCGGAGTGCGAGGTTGACGAGAGCGACGAGTGCGTCGACGATCGCGACGAGTGCTGCCGGGGGGCCCAAGTGGGGAGGGCGGGGGGGGGAGGGCAAAGGGGGCCGCGGGGTATTCGGAGGTCCAGGGGAGGGGGCGGCCCGGAGGGGGGGGAGGAAGCACTTGCTGTTGCATCAGTGAGCTTTGACGTCAAGCATGGGAGCGATCGTCCTGTGGGAGGCTTCGAACCCCTCCACCACCGCCCCGGGGAGCGAGAGCGGCACGCCTCACGCCCCTGCACCCTGCGCAGGCCCTGGGACCGTCGCCCGCTCTGCGGCCAGCCCGGGGGCGCCACGGCCGTCGCGCTCCACGTCGTGCTCGCCCGTGCCCTCCGTCCTCCCCTTCAGGTTTGGCCCTCCTCCTCCCTCCTCCTCCCTCCTTCTCCTCCCTCCTCCTCCTCCTCCTCCTCCTCCTCCTCCTCCTCCCTCCTCCTCCTCCTCCTCCTCCTCCTCCTCCTCCTCCTCCTCCTCCTCCCTCCTCCTCCTCCTCCCTCCTCCTCCTCTTTCTCCCCTGCTCCTGCCGTGCCCTGCCCCCGGTCTCCCGACGCCCGACGCCCGAGCCCGGCCCACTGTGGAGCGCGCGCGCGGGTGGCCTCCTGCCGCGCTGCGGCGGAAAAGTCTCCCGGCGTCGATGTCGATGCCGCGCCTGTCCGTCCCGCCGGGGTCCGAGTCGAGCTGGTTCGTCGGGAGCCTTGAGGCGGGGGTCAGTGCAAACGGGGGTCAGCCAGAGCGCCAGATCCTGCAGGATCCTGCGAAGACCCCCTCTGGCTGACCCGGGTCAGCGAGCCGCTCGTGGCCGCGAGGCGGCCGCGCCTATTGGCTAACCCAGGTTTGCGAAGCCCTGCGCTGCAGTTTTTCTTTCCTGCATTGCAGTTTTTGGGTTTCCTGCTGACCCGGGTCTGAATTGACCCGGGTCAGAAGATCCCCGAGTTCGGCTCTGCCGATGCTTGTGCAGATTCGATGCAGCGGCCGATGTTCGGCCGATATGTGCCGATTCGATGTTCGGGACGATCTGGGTCGATTTACCGGCTAGGTGTTTACCCACCTCTTTGTTCCATCTCCAGTCCACCCATGTGGTTTCCTTACGGCGAAGACAACGGCTTAAGCACGTGTGTTCTGAGGTCTATGCGGCCTTTTGAGAGGTAATGTTCATACAGTTGATGTGTTCCTCCATGGTTCATCCTCCCTTTGCGCTGCTGCCAGCGTCAGGCAGCACGGTGGAGGAGAAGCCTGGGCCCTCGACGGCAGCTGGGAGCCAGGAGCAGCTCCAGCGGCGAGAGGGCGCGGCAGTGGGAGACTCGGGATGGGAGCCGAAGCAGCCGCCCTGCACCTTGCAGCCCTCCTCGTCGCGGCAGCGGCAGACGGGGCCAGCGCCGGGCGCGAGGCCGCCGCTGGTAACCAGCCGCCCGCCAAGAGGCCCAGGCAGCAGGGCCGCCCAGGGCGGGGGGAACACCGCAGGAGGATGCCTTCGAGGCACGCGTGGGCTGCTCCCTGGGCGCTCTGGATGTACATGTTCGTTGTTCGTGTTCCTTGGCTGCTCTCAGAGCGTTGCTTGCGCAGCTTGAGTTTTCGTTGCGTTGTTCGCGGGAGCCTGCTTTGTCACTAAATGTGACGACTGCTCGCTACACAATCAGATACCCGATTCTAGGCCGCGCGCACTCAACCAGAGTTGCGCGTTTTTGTTGTCCGCGCATTGTTTTCCGATGCCCGCGCTGCGCTCGGTGATCTGACCAGATCCACAATTCCCGCTCGACTCAAGCAGATTGAGTAAGCATTGTACCAGAGCCTGACCCCCACCCGTTTCCGCCCCCCGTCGGCCGAATGCAAGAACAGAAACGCACGCTTGGCCGCTCCTCCGCGTTGAAAACCATTTCCTCCATGTCTTTCCTCCCTCCCCCTCTCTCCTTCCGCCCCCTCCTTTCCCTCCCTCCTCCCCATCCAACATTCCCCTCCTTCCTTCCCCCATCATTCCCCCATGTTGCTCCCTCCATCCATCCCCTCTCCGCCTCGCTCTTGCCCAACTCCTCCTCCTCCTGCCCTCTCCATCCATCCTCTTCCTTCCTCGTCCTCCCTCCATTATTCTCCTCCTCCCTCCTACCTGTTCCTTTTCTCTCCTTCCTTCCCTTCTCCTCGACGGAGCCGCTGCTCTCTGTCAATTTCGCTCTGGGTCGATCTGCCGATTGCAGTAGGGGCACATTGCTTGTGTGAGATGAACCGTGTAATACCCTCATATATATATATATATATATATATTCCTTGCTCTCCTGCTCCTGGCCGTTTGGGCTCAGGTATTGGCATCGATCAGACTGTTGATCGCACAGGGGGAAAAGATCCCCATCTTTCCGTCCTATCCTCTACCAACGGATCAGGGGTTCTGTACCTTTGTACTCCAACCCCATACACAGGTTATCAGCCCTTAAAGCTCACCATTCACCGAACCCTGCGTCGCGATCTCGCTCGCAGCCTCGATGGAGCCCAAACGGCGCATGCGCCGTAATGGATCCTTCGAGGCTTCGCGCCCGAGCTCTCCGACGGCGCGACGGATCGGTGATGAGTTGGAGAGCCTTGGAGGTGACCGTGCGGGTGCCCCAGATACCCCCCCCCCCCCCCCAAAACTCAGACGGACTCGAGGCGCGGCTAGCTGCTGAACTTCGACGCCACGCCGCCCACGGGGGGACAGGGGAAGGAGTAGGAGCAGGCATTGGAGGATTTCACACGCCTACTTTCGACCCTCCATGTCCTCTTCCCACGTCGGGAAGAATCCCTACTGCGTCGGGCGCAAGCCCCACTGGTCTGATACTCCAGGGCGCTTCCGCGCTAACCGCCGCTGGGACACCAGCGCTGGCCCAGCCAGTCCTAGAGGATGCCTTCGAGACACGCGTGGGCTGCTCCCTGGGCGCTCTGGATGCACATGTTCGCCGTTCGTGTCCCTTGGCTGCTCTCCGAG